AAATCAGCTGGGAGTGTTATGCAATGAACAAGCTGCAGCTCTGGAGCTGCTCAAATGAGGGCCCTGGATACGAAGAGGAAATGAAACAGTCTGAACACATTTCAGTGAATATTTCTATAATGTTGATAGGGGATTTTAAATTACAAATTTATGATAAACAGAAAATTACAACACCAAACAGTTCATTCTTATGCAAAATTTCTAATTTTAGTCTTTTTTGCCTGCCAAATAATAATTCTAAATATGCTGCATTTATATCATGAAATTATGATATATCATCTCTATATCATAAAATTGCTATTTGCTATATCATAAGTATACTATACTTATAATCACAAAATATGCCATATTTAGACATTTTAAGATCCACAATGCAGAACAGATGACTAGAATAAGATGCTTTTTCTAAGAACTCATGAGTTTCAGAATTTTCTATTTATCATAAATTTATAACTTAAAAATCTTGATCAGTTTGATCTCTAATATATTAAAGAGGCACACTGTGAACTTGTCACATAAAAGAAGATGAAAACATCCTTTTATCATCTATGTTTAGGAAGAGGCAGCACAATAATTACATTATATATAATAATACTTCTCTGGGTTGGTAGAGAATGCAAATTTTGTGGAAAGAGGGCATTTTAGTGGACAGGAAACAACAAGGAATATAGACAAAAATATGAAACTTCATTTTTAAAGAAATTCTAATTTGCCTTGTCTCCTTTGACTGCAAGACTGTCATTCTTTTTTAATTTTTTTTAATGTCATGGCCACACTGCTTAAACTCCATGATGAAAAAAAAATCCTTTAAATCTCCTGTTTTGACTGTCCTTTTAGCTTTCTTGTCTTTGAAAGGCAAGTAGGAGATAGCATGAATTGGAAGTTAAGAAACAAAAAGAATTCTATTAGCAACAGAAAAGAAAATTAGACAAGTTTATACAGGCTTTCTTGTAACAGTATTACAACTTATCCTTGAATATTTCATGTCTTTTCAAAGGACTTTGCAATTATTAATCAGCTCAGTATTTCATTAATTAGATGAATAAAGAGGACTTTATGCTCCCCCCAAATATAATAATATCCAGCATGTCCATTCAGAAACTCTATAAAAAAATCTGTAGAATATATTCACCCATCTTATTTTATATTTATTTCTTTCTGAGACAGAGTCTTGCTTTGTTGCCCAGGCTACAGTGCTATAACGTCACGTCAGGCTAACTCATAGCAACCTCAAACTCCTGGGTTCAAGGGATTCTCTTGCCTCAGCCTCCCAAGTAGCTGTGACTACCGGAGCCCACCATGACGTCTGGCTAATTTTTCTATTTTTAGGAGAGGTGGGGGTCTCACACTTGTTCAAGTTGGTCTTGAACTCCTGACCTCAAGCACTCCTCCCACCCTGGCCTTCCAGAGAGCTAGGATTACAGGTGTGAGCACTTTGCTCAGCCAACATCATCTTGAAATTTTTATGA